GGTGTGTGCGGCAAGGCATTCCATTCATATACTAAATGGGGTGCACACACACGCAAAAGCAGCTGCAGCATTTTTTGGTGCTGTGACGCTGCACACAGCGCCATTGCAGGTGCGTTGTCCGCTACTGTACGTGTGCGTCGGGGTTCCCGCGCCATTCCAAATGGTTGTCAACGCCATGCACATAATACCGCAGTGCATAGATGGGAGGTAGAACTTCCATCTCGGGGCCCCTTTTACGTTTGATGTACGTGTTGCAACGAGCTAAAACGCACGTGTGTCTGTCGCCATCGCTGCACTGTAACGCGTTTTGGAAAATTGGTAAATGTTTTTTTGAGTTGGGAGGCCCATAGAAGTCAAGGGCAACGCATGGAAATGCATGTTGCCTTGACAACGGGGATGCCAAATCAACGGCCGGTGGCTTTTAACTCAAATTCTAACTTTAAACACGCGTCGGTGTAGGTCGAACGATGCGTTTTGTCAATAAATAGATTTGTATGGCGGGAATTTATAAAAACTGGAGCGGTTGCTCATGGCAACCAATCAACTTCTATCTTCTATTTTCAAAGCTTGAAAGAGAAGCCGATTGGTTGCCATGAAGAGAGAAGCTGATTGGTTGCCACTGGCAACTGCTCCTGATTTCAGTCTGCCCAAGTTTAGATTAATTTTTCCTGCATTGTATCTTATTTATAAACAAATTGTATCATTTGATTGTATTGACTTTAGCAAAAGCTTTCCAATCTACAAAATGTATCAAACCTGTTTACAAAGATTCGGTGAAAGTAAATATTCATTGTATCGCCTCTCTCAGAATCCTTGCAATAAATGATAGCGGTTGTTTATAAATGGATACATTGTAATAACTTTCTCAATCTTTGTAACTATTGATACTTTGTAAATACATACATTGTATCGCCTTTCACAGAATCTTTTCCTTTTTTTTAATGATACAATTTATTTATAAATGGATACATGGTATCACTTATGGCAACGATTCTGTAAAAGGCGATAAGATGTATCTATTTATAAACAACTCGTATCACTTATTACAGAGATTCTGAGAGAAGCGATGCAACGAATATTTCCTTCCACCGAATCTTTGTAAACAGGTTTGATACGTTTTGTTTCTAAATATACAATGTATCAACTTTTACAAAAGCTTTACAATCAATGATACAATTTGTTGATAAATAGATTCGATCACTTTGCCGCAATGTAACCATTTACACACCGCCGCTATGAATAATTACAGGTTCCAAGAAAAGTCATTCCAATGTATATTTTATAAACGCCGTGTTCTCATTTCTTACAAAGTTTCTGGGAAAGGTGATACAATGTATATTTGTTTTTCCTGGAATCTTTGTGAACAGGTCTGATACATTTTGTTTTATAAACATACATTGTATTGTCTTTCTCGGAATGTGTAATTAGTGATGCGTTTTGTTTATAAATAGATGCATTGTATCGACTGCCCCAGAATCTTTGTAAAGTGTGTCCCCCCCCAGCTCCACCCTAGAACTCGCCCCTGTAACCCGTCGTTAGCTGCGCCCTCCCGGTCAGGGTCCCCGTTGATGTGTAAATGAATTGTAATGAGAGGTCCGCCTGTCTGCTCATGTGCTAACCCCTGGTCATTGTGCTCCATGCTGGCTTCCCCCTTCCAGGACTCGGAAAAATTCCGGCAACGTGCGAGAGTTTGAATTTCAAACAGCCATTTCCTCAGTGTGCTGCAGCCATCTTGCCGGCATTGCTGTCCCTGCGAGCACACGGGGAGGAGGAGGGGGAGGGGGGTCAGCTCGTCCGCTTCCTCCTTCCTGTGTGTCAGGGTGTAGCTGGCTAACATGGCCGCTCAGCAAATGCTACACACTCAGCCGTTTGCATAATAAATCACGTGCTTGCGTAACCCCCCTGGCCCCATGCTTCTATTTTTTTTGCAGCTCAGGCTTTTGTAGATGTGCAGGGAGCGGAATAATGACACAAAACCACGGCTCGGGGCTTATCGCACGTTACGCGGCGTTCCGGTCAGGCAGTTT